CCCTTGGAGAGGGCACCCTTGGAGATCCGAGCGGTCGTGGAGGCCTATGTCTCAAGAGTCGCCCCCAGTGCGTCGGCTTTCGGTTTTTTGACGCTGGTGCCGTTGAGGTTCCAGGATAAGCCGGCCAATGTGCTGGCCCCCGAGGCAGGCCATGAAGATATGAGCGTGGGCAGGATCTTTCGGATGGTGGAGCAGCACGAGGTCGTTGTGATCCCGTCCGTCTACAAGACGAAGAAGGAGCGGAGGGGTTTGACGCGTGTCTTGGGCCATCTGAGGGCCGCGCATCCTGACGCGGTCGTTTTTTTGGTGCAGTTGCCGGATCGGTTCGGTACCGAGCTAACCAAGGGTTACTTACGTACATTGATGGCGCGCCAGGATGCGCTCTACGACTTTGGGACGAGCGGCGTGCTAATGGAGCTGGAGGGCGACCCAGAGGGCTTACAGCACAAGGTACGTCAGGAGCTCCTGGAAAACGCCGCGATCCAGCTGCGCGTGCAACACTTCGAGAACACCTTGAGAACGGAAGTACTCGAATGCCAGACCGTCGAGGACGAACATCTCAGTCTTCTGTGGGATGCCGTCCCGAAGTTGCTAATGCCCGGTTTTCCCGCTCTAGACAGGGGCTTGCTGGAACAGGAGGACCAGGTCGGGGAGTTCCGGCTGGTGCAACAGTATGTCAATCATCAGCACGTCTTGTTGGCGGTCAGCGGGCAGCACGATTTTGTCGTTGTCAAGATGCGCAACAAGCGCAGCGTCACGGCTGCCGAGGAGGTGGAGAGCATCTACCAGGAGTTCTGCCTCCTGAAACACACCCTCGACCACCCCCACATCATCCGCTGCGTGACCATGCTGCACAGCCAGTCCCACGTATACCTGGTGCTCTAATATGGTGGCGACGCCTGCATGGAGCAGGTGCTGTCGACTCAACCAGGCTACCGCTTATCCAGGGACGACGCCCTGGACTGCACCACCCAGGTCGCGAGTGCTCTGTCCTATTGCCACGCCATTGATGTTACTCACCGGCAGGTGTCGCCGAGGCACGTGTCGGTAGAGATGGCGAGGAATCGGATCGTTTGCCGCCTGGTGGACTTCAGCATGGCAGCCCGCGTTCCAGACTTCAGCACGCGGGAGACCCTGTGCGGCGCTCTCCCGTGCGTCGCTCCGGAGACAGCGCTGGAGGAGCCGTACTGGCCCAAGCCGGCAGATTGCTGGAGCCTAGGGGTGATGCTCTTGGAGGTCGTTGGTGGGCAGGGCTCGCTCGAGCTGTCGGTGCGGTGGCGCCGTGGCGCATCCCTCGTGCAGGCCACGCGGGAGATACTCGAGTTCTTTGCCCAAGCCGGCTCCCATGCCCAAGCGATGGCGAGCATGGACGGCGTGCACGACGAGGCGGCGCTGGAGTGCCTCGAGGTCCTGCTGAGTCCCGAGCCCTTCCGCAGGGCGAGCGCCTCCGACGCGGTGGAGCTGCTGTCAGCCAGGCGCGGGTAGACCGCTCGTTTCGGGTCGGACGAGTGGGGGGGAGGAACGTACAGTGCCGTTTTTAATACATGCTCCGCGTGCGGATCATGTATTACAAATTCCGGGAACTCTGTATCAAAAGCAACGATGAGTTCATGCATAAATTCATTCATGGATCGATCATGTATGAAACATCCTTTTTCTATTTGAATCCTACGAATTATAGATTGCCCTGTATCTCAATTGGCCCTGCTTCCGCACCAGGGGGAAGCAGCACCCGGGTGCGCAGGCCTCCCCTTTTGTGGATGCTGCCCCCGCTCCTGGCGGCGCTCGCGCGCGGGGGGCCCCGGGGGCTCGGTGAGCGCCCGGGGCCCTGGCGCGCGGCGAGCACACCCGGTCCTGGTGCTCCTGTGGTGCGCTCGGCGCCACCCGCTCACTCTCCGTCCACTCCTTCGTCGTGCCCGCTTCTCTCTCCCCTCCTCCCTCCCTCCCCGCCTCGCCTTCGAGCCGCGTTGGGGCCCACCTCGAATCGCGTTGGAGCCACCCCACTTTGCGTCGCGGTGGAGCGTGGAACGCCCACGCTGCGCAGCGTGGCGCCAGCTGGCAGCCCATTCGGGCCACGCCTGCTGGCTTTTGCGCTTGACCGCTCCAATTCGGTTTCGGTCGCCCGGCTCAGCTGTGTTTCAGGTTTCTTTGGCGTGTGTGGGAGGCCACTTCTTTATGCCATCAGTCCAGGTTCACGAGACGTTGGGAGGGGACGGTCTGGTTGGGGATCTGAGAAGGGGGGGGAGGATGTGGACGCATAGTGCGTTCGCCTCAATGGTGCCATCTGTTGGTATATTCAAGCGGCCCCGAACTGCGTTGTCAACAGCCAGGGCATCTTACTACTGTCTCTTTTAGAGAGGGGATGTGGTGGTACATCAGTTCATGAGAGTGAAGCGGGAGGATTTCACCTGAGTTTAGACTCTGCCACGCCAGCCTGCCTGCACAGAAGCGTGCCGATTATGAGCGGCCGTGTCTTTCTGCCATCACTAGTGATGCCCCACTTATCCGTAAGAGCTTCGCCCCCTGCCGCCGGGCCTCTCTCTATCATCATAATGGGATATATCAGAGTCGCGTCGATGCGTCTCGGCGCTGCGCTGGCGCATCTGGAAACATCATGCGGGGGCGGATAGGAATCATCTGCGCATATTGAGACATTATCGTTATCGAAGACGCCTACGGCGAATCACCGCCGCCCCCTGCCCCTTTGGAAGCGCCTATGTGGCCGACAGCTGGGCTAGAGCTTGGCCAAGCTATCGGGCCAGTTGTTCCCCGAGTCGGTTTGGAAAGCCTTCGGGGAACGCGCGGGGGATTAATAGGAGGAGGATCAGGAGAGGGAGGAGGAGGATGATTACGAGGAGGATGAGGATGAGGATGAGGATGATGGGGAAGGAGGAGGAGTAGGAGGAGGAGACTTCTTGGGAACCGTCTTGCGAGGCCTCTTGGGATGCCTCTGCGGAGCTTCCTGGGAGCCTTTGGGGGGCCTCTTGCCTGGGCTTCTCGGGGGCTTCTTGGGGGCCTTTGGGGGCTTCTTGGGGGCCTCTGGCCGTCTTAGGGCGTTCCCGACCCGTCTGACACCGTCGGACGCCGTCTTGGGGGCCTCACTGGGTGCTTCAGGGCCGTCTTGGAGAGTATCTTGGACGTCTTGGAGGTCGCCGTCTTGGAGGCCACTTGGGCCGTCTTGCGGCCATCTTGGAGGCCTCTTGGGCGATCTTGGGGCGACCTTGGGGGCCTCTTGGGCCGTCTTGGGCCGTCGGCCGACAAGGTGCAAATGCCAAAGTCTTTCGAGCACCTAAGGCCGTCTGGGAGGCCTCTTCGGGGCCTCTTGGGCCGTCTTGGGCCATCTTGAGGCCATCTTGGGTCGTCTTGGGTGCATCTTGGGCCGTCTTGAAGGCAGCTTGGGGCCATCTTAGCCGTCTTGGAGGCCATCTTGGCCCTCTTGGAGGCTTGTTGGGGCCCTCTAGGGGCCATCCTGGGGGCTTCTGGGGCATGGGGCCATCTTGGAGGCCTCGTGGGCGATCTTGGGGCGATCTTGGGGGCCTCTTGGGCCGCCTTGAGCCGTCGGAAGGCCGAAAAGAAGCAGATGTCAAAATCCTTCAAAATCTAAGGAAACTAAATGATGTTGGTCTCTTCGGGCCTTCCTGGAGGAACTCTTGGAGGCATCTTGGGCTGTCTTGGAGGCCTCTCAGGGGCATCTCGGGCCGTCTTGGGCCATCTTGAGGCCATCTTAGGCCGTCTTGGGTGCATCTTGGGCCGTCTTGGAGGCATCTTGAGGCAATCTTAGCCGTCTTGGAGGCCTGTTGGGGCCCTCTAGGGGCCGTCTTGGGGGCCTCTGGGGCCGTCATGGGGCCATCTTGGAGGCCTGCGATCTTGGGGCGATCTTGGGGCGATCTTGGGGGCCTCTTGGGCCGTCTTGAGCCGTCGGAATGCCGAAAAAGAGCAAATGCCAAACTCCTTCAAAATCTAAGGAAACTAAATGACTTTGGTCTCTTCGGGTCTTCCTGGAGGACCTCTTGGAGGCCTCTTGGGGGCCTTTTTGTCCATCTTGAGGCCATCTTAGGCGGTTTTTGGTGCATCTTGGGCCGTCTTGGAGGCATCTTTGGTCCATCTGAGCCGTCTTGGAGGGCATCTTGGCCGTCTTGGAGGCCTCTTGGGGCCCTCTTGGGACCGTCTTGGGGACCTTGGGCCGTCATGGGGCCCGCTTGGAGGCCTCTTGGGCGATTCTGGGCCGACCTTGGGGGCGTCTTGGCCCGTCTTGGGCCGACGGAGAGCCCAGAAGGCGCCAGTGCCCAAATCCTTCAAAATCCTATGGAAAATCTATGAGTTTTGCCTCTTCGGGCCTTCCTGGAGGACCTCTTGGTATTGGCGGCCTCTTGGGGGCCTCTTGGGCCATTTTGAGGCCATCTTAGGCCGTCTTGAGTGCATCTTGGCCCGTCTTGGAGGCAGCTTGGGGCCATCTTAGCCGTCTTGGAGGCCATCTTGGCCGTCTTGGAGCCGTCTAGGCCAGGAAAACCGTTTGCAACCACCTCTTGTGGGGCTTTCCGGGCCTTTCCGGGACCCTGGCGGGCTGGGCTGGAGCCCCAGGGAGAGTTCTTCTTGAAAAAAGAACCAAACCAAAAGCGAAAGGGCTCAGCACGCCAGGCACCCCTGTGATGAATCAACAGGGGGCGGCGGATCGAAGACGCCTGCGGCGAATCTTCGCCGCCCTCTGCCTTTTTGGAAGCGCCTGCGTGGCCGAAAGTTGGGTTTGAGCTTGGCCAAGCTATCGGGCCGCGCGTTCCCCGAGTGGGTTTCGAAAGCCTTCGGGGAACGCGGAGTCGGGCGAGCTATCAAACCAGGGTTAAGTCGGGCCTGTCCCTCTAAAGGAGGAAAATTCAAAAATAGTTAAAAAAATAGTCAGGGGACGATGTTTGAGTTTTTTTTTTGCCATTTGTGAATATTTTCAAACTATTTACAATTTTTCCTCGAAGATCCCCCTGTAGGTGGACAGGCCCGACTTAAAACCAGGGGTGGCTTCCGAGCTTGCGGGCCCTTCTGGAGGACGTCTTGGAGGGGTCTTGGGCCGTCTTGGAGGCCTTTTGCGGGCCTTTTGGGCAGTCGAAGGCCATCCTCAGGCCATCTGGGGCCGTCTTGGGTGCATCTTGGGGCCATCTTCGCTGTCTTGGAGGCCTTCTTGGCCGTCGTGGAGGCATCTTGGAGGCCATCTTGGCCGTCTTGGAGGCCGTCTTCGGCGTCTTCGGGGCCATCTTGGGCTGTCTTGGGTTCTTATTTGGGCCCTCTTGGGGGCCTCTTTGGCTGTCATGGGGCCATCTTGGAAGCCTCTTGGGCGCTCGTGGGAAGATGTTGGGGGCCCTCTTGGGCTGTTTAGGGCCGTCGGAGAGCTGATAAGAAGAACATGCGAAAATCCTTCAGACCCCTAATGAAAATCAATGATCTTTGCCCTTTCGGGCTTTCCTGGAGGACGTCTTGGAGGCCTCTTGGGGGCCTCTTGGCTAGTCTTAGGCCATTTTGGAGCCATCTTGGGCGGTCTTGGAGGCTTCTCGTGCGAACTTGGAGGCTTCTTGGACTCTCTCGGGCCGTCCTGGAGGTCATCTTGGACTATCTTGTTCCATCTTGGAGGCCATCTTGGACCAACGTGACCATCTTAGAGGCCATCTTGAGCCGTCTAGGAGAATTTTTTTGTGGACGTTGGGGTGGTTTACGCGGCCTTGTGCAGCCTGTCGGGTGGCCGGCGGGACGGGCCGAAGCCCCAGTTTGTTTGTGTTGTTGTTGTTTGTTTTTTCTATATTATTTTCAATATATATATATATATATATATATATAATATATATATATATATTATTATTTTTATTATTATTATTATTATTATTATTATTATTAGTATTATTATTATTATTATTATTATTATTAAATAAAGAACCATAAGCGAAAGGGTTCAGCACGCCGGGCACCCCTGTGATGAATCAACAGGGGGCGGCGGATCGAAGACGCCCACGGGGAATCACCGCCGCCCCATGCCTTTTTGGAAGCGCCTATGTGGCCGAACGTTGAGGCCAGACCTGCCAAGCTATCGGACCATGTGTTCCCCGAATCGGTTTGGAAAGCCTTCGGGGAACACGTGGGCATCTTGAGGGTCATCTTGGCCGTCTGGAGGCCGTTTTGAACCTTTCGGGCCTTCTTGGAGGACGTCTTGGAGGGCTCTTGGGCCGTCTTGGAGGCCATCTTGAGCGTCTTGGAGGCCTCTTGGGCCGTCGTGGGGGCCTCTTGGGCCGTGTCTTGAGCCTCTTGGGCGATCTGTGGGGGCACTTGGGCCGTCTCGGGCCGTCGGAAGGCCGAACAAAAAACAAATGCCACACTCCTTCAAAAACTCACGGGAAATCAATGAATTTGGCCTTTTCGGGCCTTCCTGGAGGCCCTCTTGGAGGCCTCTTGGGCCGTCTTGGGCCATCTTAGGGCCATCTTCGGCCGTTTTAGTGGGCTCCTGGCCCGTCCGACGCGGTTGGAAGCCGTTTGAGGGGCCTCTCTGGGCCGACCTGGGCTCCTTCTTGGAATGCTCCAAGGCCATCTTGGAGGCCATCTTGGGCGTCTTAAAAGCCTCCTGGGCCGTCTTGGGGGCCTCTTCGGGCCGTCTTGGGGGTCTCTTGGACCGTTCTGGGGCCATCTTGGAGGCCTCTTGGGCGATCTTTCGGCGATCTTTGGGGGCTCTTGGGCCGTCGGAAGGCCGAAAAGAAGCAAATGCCAAAATCCTTCAAAACCCTAAGGAACATCACGGTTTTCTGCCTTTTCTGGCCTTCCTGGAGGCCCTCTTGGAGCCTTCTTAGGCCGTCTTGGGCCAGCTTCGAGCTAACTTCGGCCATCTTGGTGAGCTCCTAGCCCGTCTGACGCCGTCGGAAGCCGTTCGGGGGGCCTCTCTGGGCCGACTTGGGGCCCTCTTGGGGTGCTCCAGGGCCGTCTTAGTTGCCATCTTTGGCGTCTTGGAGGCCTCTTGAGTCGTCTTTGTGCCCTCTTTGGGCCGTCTTGGGGGCCTCTTGGGCAGTCCTGAGGCCATCTTGGAGGCCTCTTGGGCGCTGTGGGGCCGATCTTGGGGGCCTCTTGGGCCGTCCTGGGTCGTCGGAAAGCTGCAAAGGAGGGATACTCAATGATTTTGGCTTCTTCGGGCCCTCCTGGAGGACCTCTCGGAGGCCTCTTGGGCCGTCTTGGAGGCCTCTTGGGCACCTCTTGGGCCATCTTGAGGCTATCTTGAGGCTATCTTAGGCCGTCTTGGGTGCATCTTGGGCCGCCCTGGAGGCAGCTTGGGGCCATCTTAGCCGTCTTGGAGGCCATCTTGGCCGTCTTGGAAGCATCTTGGAGGCCATCTTGGGTCATCTTGGAGCCATCTGGGGCAGGAGAACCCTCGGCAAACACCTCTGGAAGATACAGGGCGATCCTTTCGGGTGGCCGGCGGGACGGGCCGAAGCCCCAGGGGGAGTTCTTTTGGAAAAAGAACCAAAACCAAAACCGAAA